AATATACAATTATTTATTATATCAAAAATTAACGGTTCGCGCTTATATATTAGGTTATTCAAAAAGTTTCTTTCATTTTGTAAGGAAATAACAGACGCACAATGTTTTTTATTTTATATTATTTTATATTATTTTATATTTATTTTTTATTTTATTTTATATTATTTTATATTAATTATGCACGAACATAATAATAGAAATAGAACGAAGTGGATCATACCTAATTAAATAAAATAATAAAACGGAAATTGTTGTTCATCTATTATCACCCTATGAAACGAAAGAAACCTTCTGGACAACCTAATACAATATATCTGTATATGTTCTGCATATTATTTACTCGATATTCTTTCTAATCCATTTTATACTAAATGAAATATAAATACATAAAAACTCGGGATATTACTACTCTCTCTCTCTCTCTCTCTCTCCATCGAAACGAACAACTTGCTTGCAACTTTTTCCTGGATAAAATCAGTTACAAAGTGAACTGGTCGGTAAGAAGCAGAGCCACTTTCTTTGCGTTATTTGTAGACAAGGGTCTCGGACGAATAGCCGAGTAACGAGTCCATTCGAATGCCCTGTCGCGCTCCAATTTTTTTCTCCGACGCACACCGATTACGCCGTCATGTAGGTAGTACAATTCTATTCTTCTTATGACGTTGAAGAAGAGGGAAACACCGAGAATCGCCTCGTCACACCGATTTCTTTTTTCCTTGATCGTATCCTAAGCCGCATTCTACTATCTTGTCCGCAGCCAAAAGGGAACAATAAGACCGGGCACAGGGGGCATAAGGGGCACGAGACTCTATAGCCCCGACAAGAGAACCAATTACCGGGACGAACTTTTTCCCTTTGCCCGTTAATCACATTAATCCATTTACGAGTCAGCCAACCAGCCCTGTATATATACATTGGTCTGCAGCCGGGCTAAAAACGCACGAATACGGTGGAACCGCGAGGCCTCGCGGAACCCGATGTAAAATTGGTACGTGTTCTGCGTAATCCAGCACCTCGGTCCGGCCGAATATGGCACTAGCCGTGCTGCTCGCATAAGCGAACCTGTGCCCGGTGCCTTCTATTCTAATGGTCGTCAGCTCTTCGTTCGTAACCAGCTTCTTTGCCATGGCTCGACCACACACTCGAGGCAACGTTCGCCACAAGTTAAGTAGACGAAACGAGATTCGTACTTCCTCCCTCGTTGTATACAGGTTGATGCATAAACGCGCGTCGATACTTCAAGTGGTACGCATTAGAATGAATGAAAAACATCGTACGTTACGCATTGAACGTAAGTTGGTTGTTGAGTTATGAGTGATGATATCAGGTTGTCCGAAAAGATTCCTTCGTTTCATAAGGTGATGATAGATGAACAACAATTTTTGTTTTATATTATTTTATTGAATTAGGTATGATCCCTATATTATTACGTTCGTGCATAATTCATTAAAACAAAAAACGTCTATTATTTCCTTATAAAACGAAAGAAACTTTTCGGACAACCTAATATATTCCATGTGGCCGTCTCATGTCCCAACGCACTAACATTGGCCATATACAGTTTAAGTACGTCTTGAATTTTCAACTAGTCTTTACAATCAAATTTCGATCAATGTGAATAAGACGGAATTACTAGAGCGCGAATATTTATGCAAATTTGATATTTTTCTGAAAATAATTAAAAGAATAAATCCAAGGCAGAGATTCTTTTCATCTGTTAACCCTTTACACTCGGAATTTTATTTCAATTTCGTTAGCAGCAGCTGCCAACGCTTTTAGGCGTTTTATTTGAAATTTACTTTAACTAAAAAATAAGACAATTGAAATAAACGAAGGGAGAAAGAAATTCACTGAAATACCAGTTTTAGTCACACTATTGTTGCGTTTTGTAATTTTCAAGTGTATGATATATCTCGAAACAATTTCCAGGATGCAACCCTGACTTTCTTTCGCACGTTTCACAAAAAAAGCTGGGGCTGAAAGACTCGACATCAGTTTTTATCTCAGGAGCTCCTTTGTCGAGTCGTACTCGACATTGGAGTGCAAAGGGTTAAATGTTACAACGAATATCCACGAGTTCGTATCTTTAAATTTCCCATAAATAAATAAAAGTATGCAGTCCACCGATTACTCTTCTAAAAATCATAAAATGTATGAACTTACGCCGAGATGGTCGACATGGGGCAGAGATAATACAAAATGGATATGAAACTAGAATACAACATATTTTAAGGTCATCAAAATCGACCAGATTATATTCTAAATAATTAGAAATTGTTTTAGCGCACAGATTCACCCTCCACTCGCATGAATTTATGAATCAACCTGTAGGTATTCGTCCACGTGAATCGACTTGGTTGCAAGGGTTCGTAGGAGAGACGCTTGCTTCTCAAACGCGTCGTTGATCACCACCGCACGAACGCTGGGTATATTTTAGAGAAAGATGTGACAGAAAAGAAAATTAGCCGTTGTCCAGCGTCGCAACGTGGAAAAACAGGTTCCACTCGTGTAATAGTGGAAGCATTAAGCGCGGAAAGAAGTTCGCAATTATGGTAAGCTGAGACACAGCTGAGAGGTAGTTTTCGTTTCTCCTTCTCCCTCTTTCATTGGTGATGGCTTATCAGATGCGTATTATATTAAAGTACGTCGAAGATCCTCGAGTGGAGCGTTTGGGATCGAAGATCTTTGCCTCGATTATTTTCTGATGAATCGTGATTGCGTTTCCAGTTTCTTAGTTGTTGTTAATCAGCCGGAATGATAACAATCTTAAGACATTGTGAATAAAATACATTGTGAATGTTTCGAGTTGAAGAATTTTCAAGAAAATTATTACTAATTAACTAATTCAGGTACTACTGATTCAGATAATTTAATATTTATCGACGTAATTAATTATGCTTTTTAAATCTTGTATTTTACGTTTTCAATAATTAAGGGAAAATGTACATTTCCAAAAATATTCGTAAGATTTACGCTGACGGTACTGACGTTCACTTCATCGCAATTATTGTAAAATTATTGTAAAATCCGAAATTATTGTAAAATCTCTTCTATCGTGTCTATCGATTAAACAGCGTATATTTTATCCTCGTTTGAAGAAAATAGTGGAGCAAAAAGAACGAGCCCTTGGATTAGTCCCGGTTCAAAAACGAAGCGCAGGTGTCGGCGAGGCTGACTCGGCAGCTCGCAACAATCGTAGAGAGGCGTCTATGTTTTGAAAACACAATTCGTTCCATCCGGATTGTTATCACCGGAAAAGGCAGGCCAGTACCTGAAAAAGCCATCGTTTTCGTTACGCCGAACCTGTCGACCAATTTTTCCAGACAGCACGATTTCCCTCGCGACTGCTGTTCGAACTTTTTCCAATTTACAATAACAATTCCAAGGACTCTTGCTTCATCCTCAACGAGACATACATGTTTCATCGTTCTAATTATTTAATAATATCTCACAATGTGACAATTTATGGGAAAAATATTTTCACACATTTTTATCGTAAATTTCATTCCTGTTTCCTTCGATTCGTAGACCAAAAATGAAATCGACGTCCGCAGCAGGAGAATACGTGTTGCATTGTTCGTTGCGGTAGTTGGAAGAAAAAGCTGGTAATGAAAAAGGAGTTTGTTTATACTCGAGCTTTACAGAAGGCCTCATTGTTGTTGCTGTGACTAATTGCTCACCAGGAGATTCCTGGCTCAGCAAACGATCTTCTTTTTCATTTCTGGTCTAGAATGTCCAGATGAGGTGGAGTAATTAGAAAGACTAGCTTTAAGTTCATAGAATCGGCTACCTTCTGAAATCGTATCAAGAGTAATCAGGTTATTGTCTCGTTATCTCTTAATTATCTTTGCCTAATCCAGTAAATACTACTGCGTCCAGTTTCTTGTTGCTACACAAAGATGTCTATCTCCTTCGATCAAGTCGAAGTTAATCGTCTGTGGAAAAATTGATTCTTCACTATTAAATTCTTCTGCTCGAATTTTTATCTTTATCGAATAAGTTCCAAACATTTGACTTAGCAATAGGTCGTATAATTCGGTAACTATACACATTAATAAATATTCCAGAATTTTTCAGATATTTTTGGAAGCCTAGAACAGTAAAAAGATTTCACTTGGAAATAAAATCTAATTAGAATAAAATCACAATATCGAATAAAATTGCAGTAATATTACATCGAGATTAATCGGTTGATTCCTAAAAAGTTAAATATTAATTATGTATTTTGATACAAAAATAAAATTGGAATTGGAAAATGAGATTGGTCAGTCTGACTTTTGAGTGACATATACATTGCAGGTATCTATAGGCTAAATAATATTTTTCTACATCCATTTGATTCGTGTTTATCCAGTCAGAAAATCGGGCAAGGAAAACATGTTTTACCAGCAATTCGTTCTCAACATTCCGCATATCGAAAGGGCTATTGAAGGTTTCTCGTGCGGCGCGAAGGACATCGCGCTTACTCCGAGCTGAAAATGTTTTCAGGTAGCAGTTACAGGTATCCCAGTCGCGGCTGTCCTGGATACAGTAGGGGTCCGTTATCCTGCAGAGATAATCAGATTTCCCGTGACTGAGTTGTCAAAACTGTGTCGTCCTTGACAACTCGGTCTCGAACGACGTTTCGTGGAAACGTGATTCGCCTCGCTACTCTGACAACTCGAAAATATTTTGAGTTCCAGCATCACCTAAAACAACTTTCCAACAAACGTGCTCTGCAATAACAGGTAATTTTGGAAATTTCGCGGCTATTGAATCTAACGCTACTCTAATTGGCAATTTTTTATACAAATTTTATAGATGAATAAAAAATTTTATAGAGGTCTTCTAGGATCCACAAATTTTTCTGTAAAATATTGGGTTGACGACTAAGTGACTGAAGAAAACTCAAAATTTTTGCTTAGAAACATAACTTTATTCAATTAGGTATTGACCGTTTTTCTAGACGACCATTTACCATCTTTCAGTGTCATAGTTCCATGTTCATAAAACTTCTGATTTTTGCCAGCAAAAAACTGAATTAATGTGATTTTACATCATCAGCGTCATTAAAAATTGTACCATTTAAGGAGTTCTGCATGGAACGAAATAAATGGTAATCTAAAGGCGCAAAGTCAGGGTTATATGGTGGATGTGACAACACATCCCAACCTAAGTTCCAATCGTCAAGGCTATATGGTGGATATGACAACACACCCCAACCTAAGTTCCAATAATTTTTGGCGAATGACCAAAGATGTGTGGGGCTTCGCATTGTTATGCTGGAAAACAACACCCCTAGGATTTGCCAATTGTGGCCGCTTTTCTTCAACTGCATCGCTCAGTTTGGCGAGTTGTTCAACGTACACGTTTTAATTAATGGTTTGGTTTCTTGGTAAAGGTTCAAAGTACAGAACTCTTTTATAATCCCACCAAACTGACGGCATAATCTTTTCTTGGTGAATCTCAGCTTTTGGTGTCGTCTGGGCTGGTTCATCTTGCATCAGCCACGATCTTTTCCCATTAACGTTGTTATAAACTATCCACTTTTGGTCGCCAGTAATCAGTCGTTTCAGAAATGGATCAATTTCGTTGCGTTTCAGAAGCGAATCGCAGATGCTAATGCGTTGCGTCAAATCAGAAGCGAATCGCACGTTTCAGAAGCGAATCGCAGATGCTAATGCGTTGCGTCAAATGAATTTCCTTAAGCTGATGAGGGACCCATAAACCGAGTTTCTTGACATAGCCAAGCTGTTTTAATTCTTTTTCAATGCATGTATGCGATACATTGAGCTTCTCTGCAATCTCACGCGTTGTGCTATGACGATCTGAATCGATAATGACCTTGATATGTGTCTCATCAACTTCAACTGGACGGCCAGATCGTTGAGCATTTGTCAGTGAAAAATCACCAGAACGAAATTTGGTAAATCAATTTTGACACTGCCTTTCTTTCAAGGCTTCATTCCCATATACAGTATATAACTTCTTATGTGCTTGCGATGCATTCTTGCCTTTTCGGAAATAATACAATAAAATATGTCTGAAATGCGCGTCTTGTTCTTCCATTTTTAAATTGGGATAAAAACGAAACTAAATAACTAATCGATACAATTTTTTACTAAATTAAAGGCGCAAGTCCAAACAACAAGAAAACGATATAGCTTAGATGCTTTGAACACTTTGACAAAACAAAAGAATGTGCATAGCACCAATATATGGATAGCAGTTTATATATCTATTTTTTCATATGTCATATATCTTAATATTTTTATCAGGAATGTTATACTTTAGCAAATGGTTTTAATGTTAAAGAAAATTGTAGTCTTCAAGCAAGAACGTTGTGTAACATTATTTTAAATTTAATTTGAGCCTAATAATGAAATTTTAGTTCAAAGATGGAAGATAGACCACAAACCTTAGTCACAGCTGTGAAATCTACCTGCTATTTAAAATAATCTTCCTCACGTCGGTCAACCATAGAGTTATTTATTCATCTTATTATCCGGTTTAAAAAGTCATTAAGTCATGTTTACGTTTACCAAACCCTAGAAAAGCCGGTGTTTCGCATTTTCTTCAATCCTTCTTTACATAAAAGCAAGCTGGTATTTTGACTTTTCGACCTCAAAATAACACGCGATTTACCTGTGGTTTCGTGACAACAATGTCTTACCAAAACGTTACATCCTCTAACAAAATCTCCTCTTATATTCCATGCAATTTTTATAAGTTAAATTTGAGCCTGCAAAAATCTTCTTCTCAAAAGTTTAGATGTAAGGACTCCAGAGCAAAATTCTACCGGATTTCGGATATTTATCTTGACAATTTGAAGGATCGCAAAGGGTAGCGAGGCACCTCAGAGGAAAACCAGCGACCCCGCGTTTAGAAATTGCAAAGGACGAGCGTGTCGAAAGCGGGGGCCCCGGGCAAACAGGATTTGCCGATTAACTTTCGAACTAACCATGAACCTTCCTGATCTCTTGGAGCACAGCTACAAAGCGCAGTAGGTCAGGGTCGACTTTTTAACTTCTCGACACGCAGGAAATTTCGGCTTCCGTCTGGAACGAATCTCTCGCGGATAAACGTACACCTTGCATAGTTGTTTCCGAGATCCTTGAAAAGGATCGTTCACGGCGGTTTCTGTCCAAGACCGACCACGATGTTTTACAATACCCGTTTACGATGGTCGATCTTGTTTCCTCGTCTGTGACATTCGTTTACCACGCTGCGGTTTGCTTCTGCGATTCGATTAAAAAATCCAAGATTCTTTTCCCGATTTCGAATGACGAATTATTTTGTGAAAGCTTCAAGTAAAATTTCGATCGGAATTAAAATATACTTAAATGTAGCTTAATTTTTTTTTTTTTTTACAATTTTACAATCAATTTTCATTGAGAATTATAAATCAATTATTATGGCGTGGTACTATGTCGTGTAAATGTTGCTTAATGTTATTTATTATTCTGTCCCACTTGTTGAAACGAACTTCTTCCAGATTTTTATTCTTATGATACAGCACTGTATATTTTACATTTGGTTAGCAGTTTAACGTGGTATTTAGTTAATAATTGTTGTTTAATAATTATAACCGATAATGAAGAATATTATTTGCTATATATGAAGTTTTCTCAGTCGTTAAAATTACTAATATGTTGTACCAAATATAACTAATACTTTATAACGTGTAAAGGTCGTTGTTGTGCCATAACAAATGAACGATTACTTATGAAAATGCATGACTAATCAGTTATATGCAAATTTATAACTACAGATGCCGTAATTGCGCGGTGCTAGATTTATGCCCCAATAATTACAAACGTTAAACACGTTAGCAACGTAAAAATAAATGCGACTACGATATAATGAAACGCACATTTATATTGACTCCTACATTGTAGCTATCTGACTTTTAATATCGCGTATTATAATCTTGAACAATTCCAAGAAGCACGTAAATAAAAGAAACAAAGAACCTAGAGAAAAGGTGTTTAGATTATCGTAAGAGTGAAGGAAGGCGAAAAAATAGAAAGTAGACTGGAACACGAGTAGAAAATCGCGAATGGGGAAAGGAAAAAGTCTGGATTCGCGTGTCGCCAGATATTCGTTATCGGTCGTGATACCGCGGTGCCATAATGGTGCATATGGGGGGGAACACGAGGCGCTTAATTGAAATAGCGAAGCCTTACGACCGGCTCACCAAGGAAATCGTAATTCTGCTGAGTGTGGTGTGAAACGGTGAACGGGAGAACGCGAACGGCAATTCCAGTCTGGAAAATAAGACTAGAAGAAAGAAGGAAGACGTATCGTAGCGCGAGATGCTCGACAAGAAGAAATTTATTTTGTCGAGGAGATCGTTCAGATTGCAAAGAGAAGAAGAGAATAAGACGAAGGAAACGTAACATCTAAGATTTCCATGAGAGAAAAACGTTGGTAAATGAAGGTTCTATTTTTATATCCTTTGCTGATGTTGATGATTCTTTGTAACAGAGAATACCTTGAACTTGCAAGTAGAAATTAGAGTGCACGATTTCATCGTCTATAAAATCGACTCGAGTATATTTAACTGAACACCTGGTCGCTAACAAATCGGTTATTTAACGATGTCCCTTAAATTCTAATTGATAATTATGATAGAACGAACGAGGAATCGTTACTTAAATAATCGCTTCCAGCCTTTTGCAATTACCAGTCGAACGTCCAGTAGATATATTATTTGCGAAGTTCGTTAGCGAAGAAACCAGCGAGGAAGGCAACAGTCGTTCACTTGGAGAAAAGGATGAGGCCACGGAACGTGGGAATTATCAGTCGAAGGGAGATTACACAGGTAATAATGGCTACCGGTTACCAGGCACAGGTGACGACACGTTAATTTCAACGCGCGATTCCATTCGCTTTACCTTAAGGCGATATTTCATCGCATTAAAGTTTGTCATATTTATAAAAAAATATATGGTTGTCGATGTATATTAAAATTTGTAGTTTACAGTAGTTAGTGTAAGTTAGTTTATTTATAGCTAATTATAACTTCAATAAGGAAAAGATCGAACAGCATCGGTGAATACTTGATTAACTCTTTCACAGTTTAGTGCAAGAGAAACCCGGAGTAAGTGCTGTTATAAATCTCGTATCGTAAATATCATCATCAGATTGCGGATTTTTATACATTTGTAGCGGCACGTGAGCTAGAGGACAATTGAAATCATGTTGTTGTTTTGCCTCGGAGTACCAATATCGTTAGGGTACACAACATGTAATAATAAATAAACTCCAGGCAAAACAATGTCGCCGCTACGTGCAATTGTCATGCGAAGACGAATTAGAATTCTTCGGCTCTTCCCCGACCAGTATAAATAAACGGACGCGATCGTAAGGAAGTTCAGTTATCAAACAGTTATCGATCAGTTAACAGTTAATCGCACGAGCAGTATCTACGAGTATCGATCAGTTATCAACGAATTATTAGCGATCTTATTTTGCGACTTATACACTGTATAATGAATATTAATGAATGTTAATTATATTTATTTATTTAACATTTTAAATATACTTGACGATTTCAACAACGAGCAATCTCGTCCAATAAATCTCACGATCAACCATCCTCTACACATTTATGGGAAATTTCAAAAGGCAAGATTGCACAGAATGCATGCTAATATGTAGAAATATATAAACTATGCAAATTATATTACTGGTTCTAATTTGTAGTCAGGAAAGAAATTTCTACCGAAGCTCCGTTTTTAAAATTATCTTCATAAAACTATAAATTTGCGTAAATATTCGCAATCTAATCACCATACGCAACGCGATTAACAATATCCATCTGCCATTAACATTCAAAATATCTATTATACGTATACTTTTATATTTGACATCAGGAATTGTAAAACATCTTGATAAGGAAATAATTATCTGTTAAATATTTCGTTTCGAATTCTCCTTCATTTCATTACATCGTCAAAGGATTAAACGAAAATATTATTTGCCATGAAAATTTTACTACTTCTCAAGCACTAATAATTTTAAGCTTCCAAATGGAGAAAAAACGAGAGAATCGTTCGAGTGTACGGTCGTCGTTTAAAAAAAACAGTTGACAAACACGCAATCGACGGGCAGGATTAATTTCAACCGCGGTGTTGAGTAATAAATCGTGTTTTCAGGATGCGTGCAGGAACGATCACCATTAACCGCCATTGGAAATAACATGTGGACGTGAAAGATTACACGCGCGAGAAATTGTGTTGGCGAATCGCACGCTCGAAACAGCATTAGCTTCTGGAATAATCTGAATAATCGTGAGGTCGTTGTTTCGCGTATTAAAATTGGCACGTCAATGTATGCGACAAAAGCTATCGACTCGAAACCTTCGAAGAACGCGATCGACTCGTGATTCATCGATAAGCATCGCTCCTTAACACTTTGACTGCCACGTTGGTCGTATATGACCCGCCACGGTTTCTCCTGTGACGCCACGATAACCATTGACCGGAGAGTTTGAACTTCTTACAATTGTAAAAATTGAATGAATATTGACAATTAGGGTATTTTGAATATAACCGATAAATAGAAGATACTTTGA